TGTATATGTTATCCGAAACCACCCATATTATATATATATATATATACATATTTCACTTATTCAAGAAATAATGTCAATTATGTTACCTAGTTTGCTTTTCTATTCAACCAATACAAGAGTCTATTACATATTCTTTAGTATTCAGTTGCTTTTCATTCCTTGTGTTAAGTAAGTTAAAATATCAACGTCGATGTCACGTTAGAGTTCATCAAATTTTTATTTCTAAAATTATCTGTAACCACGCGTTTATTTTGTTTAAATTACTTCTTTTATTTGTTGTTTCTATCAAAACCAACAATTTAAAACCAACGTAAATGGAAATAAGAAAAATGAATTGCGTACAATAAAGAAAAATAATTAATTTGCTAATAAAAATTCAGAACTTGCGAATATCAATAACTAATTTTGATAAAAATGACGCTTTTCTAATTTTGCTAATTAGAGCTACATATATTGTTTTAATAGATACTTTTTTAATCAATTCACAGTATGCTAATATAAATTATTAAATTTGGTATTGAGGTTACAGGTTTTTAAACCTCCTCTCAGAGAGGTATAAGCAACATATAGAAATATTTGATGGTACTGCTTAATTCAAATATACTAATATAATATAAATAATAATAAACAAAAAAAATAGAATTATTTTCATTGTCGCGGTAAACTGAAATGTGATTAATTAGAATATTATTTTAATTGTTACGTTTTGAACATGTATTAGTTGTGTTGATTTTACAAATTTATTGATTAGATACATTTCATCTTTACTAATACTGAACTATAGTCTAGAAATAATTTTAATCAGGATTGGCATGATTTTCAAAAGCATGCCATTTTGTTTCTATATCATGTCAGCACAAAATAATTCCAAAAATACTCGATACAAATAAAGTGAAAATTGTCTGGTTATATGTAGTTTCTTTAGATTCATAGTTCAAATGCCAAAATCATCCACCTTTACTTACAGGTTTGAGAATCCAAACAAAAATGTTTTTGAATATTATTTGATGAACTACTGTTCATAATTCTGATATTCGCAGTTCTTTAAAAAACGTCAAAGATGGTTATATGTACATGATATAAATAGCGACATCATTAAGCGTTTTAAGAAACTTTAAATGAGCATAAATCAAATGTTACACTGCCTAAAATAAAGATTATCTGAATTTGCTTGTCTCTTAAATAGATGCATACTCGTATACGATCTACTTGTTCGCATATTCGTCTCAAATAATAATATCGAAAAACAGTGTAATACTCGAAGTGAAAAAGAAAAATCCACTTACACATCTGGGATTCTCCAGCTTATGCTTCCATTTTAGTAGAATATCATCATGTTTTGTACCAGGCAAAAACATTTCCATGATATCCCCAGGCTATCTTTTCCTAACATTTCCGAAGAATCGTTCCGAAGGTATATCTTACAAGTGGTTCTTCTTCCTCTTTTTCTTCCGTTTCAGGATGGTTTTTTCCTCCATCGCAACTAATGCGATCATAAGAATGATCACTGGATTCTTCACAAATCTTCAGACCAGGAACATGGAAGTAAAAAAAATTGACGTCTAAGCTATTCTTATCTTAGGTCAATATTTATGTCTTATCAAGCAGCCAGGCATAAAAAAGTATGATAAATGACTTATAAATGTATCGATTGCAATAGAATGTAAAAGTATGAAGCAGAATCCTTAATTAATTCACATTTAAATTATTTCTTAAACTCCTGAGATTCAATATATTGAACCCAATATAATGATCAATATATATATATATATATATATATATATATATATTTCGATAAGTCNAATTTATAATAATTATTGTATATAACTAAATATTGTAAAACCATTATTGGCTGATCTCGTCAAATTTATGCTATAATTCAAAGAATTCTAAGAATATAGCTTATTTAAATATACTTCAAACAATTTTCTAAATATATTTCTAATACTTTTCTAAATATATTTCCAGCAATTCTCTTATTATGACTTAAATCCCTTAATATAACACGAACAATTTTTCATCAATCTCTTAAATTTGTTTCAAACATTAAAACTTGTTTTAATTAAATTTGCTTAAATTAAGCATTAAAATTTGTTTTTTAAAGAGCAGAATTCTTTTTTTTTAAGGGAATTCTTTCTAAGTACATTATATGATCAATTTATGTTAGCTTTTAAAGCTCCGTAGATTTCATGAAAGTTGAGTTTAAATGAGAACTTCAATTTGCCTAAAATATGTTTTTTTTATAAAAATGGAACGATTAAATTTTTTATAGAGTAATTTTTATCGCATGATAAAGATTTTCATAAAAGTATTGCATTATACTCTTTTAAAAATACTGATACAATCGTTCAATTTATATTTACCCACAAACAATGCACATTTTCAGGTTCACATTTTGGATAAATTATAATAACGTCATTCACTTCTAAGCGATGTCAAATTGAAATAAACATTTATTAAAATTACATTATATATATATATATATATATATATAATGTAATTTTATCTCTAAAGAATTATATAGGGCATTTTTTATTGAACTACTTTTCAATATATTTAATATTTTTGTAAATATTAATCCAATTTACTATCCTATTTATACCAGTATTTAATATATGAATCAGCATCCGATACGTTAATAGACTGATATACTGGGCAATATTTGATATAATTGAATCACTAAAGAAATATTAAAGGTTCTTTTTTCTGTTTGGACTACTATTCAATGCAATTCAATTATTTTTTAACATTCTGAGCTCCAATATATAAGTCAATATCTTTGACCAATATATTGAAGTAGTATATTATATACTGGACAATGTTTTGCATACTTTTATCTCTAAATAAATGATATTCAGGACCTGTTTTTCTGCTTATATACATTAAGAAAACAATGGTCCGTGTAAAAATATCGGTTTACGATTTACCTAAAATAATTATTTCCCTATAAATTTAGTTATTTAGTACATAACTTAAATATTAACATATTGTAACTTAAAAACCGCATCGGTAAAAATATCGGTTAGTCGAAAGTTTCAATTACATGCAAAAGTTATAAGAAAATTAGGACATTTTATTCAAATTACCATTTAAAGAGTTTTATGGTAAATTAAAACCTTATTTGGTTACTGTAAAGTTTTTTTTTCATGATCAAATGGGAAAAATGCACTATTAAGTAACCAACAATGATATTACTATTGAGTAGCCCAAAAGAAAGAAATTCTAAATATCTGACTGTTTCATTTTAATGTAATAGTTAAAAATAACTGAAAATTTAATTATATTTAATCACATTTATGAGTTTAATTTTTCTTGTGCTATATACCTCTAACAGAAAATTGTATATATGTTTATATTTAAAATTTTGGTGTCAAAAGAATGCATGAAATAAAAAAGAGCCAACTAAAAAACTATAGATAGACAATATTTTCTAAAGCACAAATAAACTTGAAAGTTTTCAATCACAAAAGTTATCATAATTGATTATGAAATGCTGCTGGCGTGTTATACGTTTATAATTCAGAAATAATTCAAACATACTACTATATTTTAGGGAATAAATTAATAGGTTTCTTAATTTTTTGAATTTTAATATAAAAATTTCGAACATCTTAGAGCCATTGGAGACTTAATCTTAAACTTAGTGCTTCATAAAAGGGACTTCCTTTTTAAAAAATTAATTAAATTGTTCAGCAAAAATTTAGTAATACTACTTCCATTCGAAAAATTAAAAGATCGTACTATGAAAGAAAAATGAATTAATAGTGTTCTGTTGTTCTGAAAAGTTCAACATGGACAGTGGTTCTTCAGTTTTAAATTGTTTTTAACTATGAGAAATACATGTTTTCTGTGATATGTGTAATGAGAAATATATTTCTTTATTTTAATTTTGTCTGTATAGGACAAAGATTTGATTTGAAGTTCATTTTAACTTAAATATTGTCTTATGTTCCTTTTTGAGGTCAGAATAGCATATCAAAAGTATTATTCAAAAAGTAGAGGTAAAAAATGTATTTAATTGTCAATTAAAATTGAACTTTTACAAAATTATATTTCATGAATTCTAGAAAGCATAACAGTTTCTAAGCTATTTTTAATATATTTAATTTTTGATCTCCGTATATAATTTTAAAAAATCTGGTGGTATTTTGAGAGTAATATTATTAATTGTTTACTAAATATTTGTTTAAAATTCTATTATTTCGAAATACGAACATTGCAATGTAAACACATTGAATTGCTTAAAAGAATTAAAATATGTATGAATGTATGTAAGGAATATCTCAAAGTATATCGCAAAACTGTTTTTAAAATAAGATTTCCCATTTTAAAAAGAAAACGAAAAAAAAAATTTTTGTGGCTGATTCAATTTTCTATATTTATCACTGTTTGTCCGGGGAAACAAACAAATCTATGAACCTTACTTAAAAGAATTGTTTAATATGAACAAAAAGTTCAGGTTCTTTTATAGACACTCCAACCAACAAGCCGTCAAAAAAAAAATACTTAGCATAAATATAAGTATATCTTAGGAATATTCTAATGCATATCACAAAACTGTTTTTAAAATGTAGATTGCCATATTTTCAAGAAAAATGAAGAAAAAAAATGTATTTGTCGATGATTCGATTGTCTATATTCCCCATTGTGTGTCCAGAAAAACAAAAAATAATCTATGTACTTTATTTAAGAGAATTGTTTAGTATGTAGGATTAAAATGTTCTTATTCTTTTATAGATACTCCAACCAACAAGCCGTCAACGAAATATAATTAACATAAATAAAAGTATGTCTAAGGAATATTCTGAAGTATATCACAAAACTGTTTTTAAAATAGGCTTCCATATGTTTCAAGAAAAATGAGAAAAAAAATGTGTTTGTCGATGATTCGATGGTATATATTCCCCATTGAGTGCCCAGGGAAACAAAAAATAATCTATATACTTTACTTAAGAGAATTGTTTAGTATGTAGTATCAAAAGGTTCTTATTTTTTTATAGATACTCCAACCTGCAAGCCGTCAAAGAAAAATATTTATGGTCTAGCTAGAGAAGAGAAAGTAAATATAACGTGTGAAGTAGATTCGGATCCTGCCGATGTCACGTTTCGATGGGCCTTAAACAATTCTATTGAAAACGTTGAACTACACAACTTTAAATCCTCTGGTTCAACAAGCATCATATCTTATATGCCAAAATCTACGACAGATTATGGATCTGTGTTATGTTGGGGAAGAAATTCAGTTGGGGATCAAAAAGAGCCTTGCTTTTTTAGAATTATACCTGCTGGTAAGTTAGAATATCCTTTTTACATTTTATTCATTATGATTCTAAGGAAGAGTTTAATTTTGTATTATGAATTGAAATAAGGAGCATTGCTTTAATTAAAACATTAATACGTGCTTAAAAATAATTAATAAACTTATTTCCAAATATGTTTTGTAATATTAGAACTTTTAAACTTTTGTTTAACTAGTTAAGAATCTAACTTAACCCCTTAACGATCGGCTAATTTTCAAGAAAGCGGTCATAAAAGAGCCTATTTTTCTATACACGCATGTTATACACCTATTTGATTAGTGCTGACATTTAGTTTAAAGTAAACTAACTATCTACAATTACCTTAAAAATATCCTGGTACTGCCATCTGGTGTGTAAAATGAGAAATAAAATGTTTTCCGGGCAAAAGAAATTAATTAGTTTTATTCTTATTGGCGTGTTACTACTGAACACTAAAGCTCGGGAATATCACGGGAACGAGAAATAGAGGGCGAAACCTCACACCGTCATTTTCACGAGAGCAAGAAGGAAGGGGTTAAAATTCATTTAAAAAAGTTTGTTTTAATTTTTTTTTAAAGAAATGACGAAAATGTAAACATTTTACATATAAATTCGCATTTTGTTGTTGAGTAAAGTAAGGAGAACTGCCAATAAATAAAAGCATATTTAAACAAAAATAATGCAGTGTAGCTTACTAAATGTATAAAAAATACGCACTGAACGAAAATGTTTATCCTTTTGAGTTTTTTTTTTCTTTTTTTTTTTGGAAAAAAATATAGTTTCGAATCATGACCTTGTAAAGAAATTACTTTCACAAGAAACCTATCAGCAGTGTATTGTCAAACTGAAATAAGACGATGTAATAAACAATGAATGCGTACATCGCACCTGGTATTTTTTTAATTATTATATATAATATACTTTATTTATTTCCCCTTATTGAATTTTTTAAAAAGCGAATAGCTACTAATGAATTAAATGAACATCAACTAATGAACAATTAAAATAAGCATCGGGGCAAAATAATTATTTTTTCCAAGAAAATTGAAGATGGATATAATTGTGTGAAAATTGTTAACCTGAAAGCTCGTACAAGGAAATCAGTAATCATAACCATACTCGTCAACTAAATTGGATAATAACAAACTATGGTTTATTAAGGAGGTATTTAAAATATTAAATTATATTTAACTTTTATCAAAACAATAATTATTTCACTTCCAATAAGGACTTATGTCTGTGATACATGAATTTCAATGCAATGTTAAGCTATACTGAATTTATTTATAAGAATACAACAGTTAAAATCTTTAATCCGAGCAACAGTTGGAATAATATGTCCCAGCGAAGGGAACTTATTTCATTAAGGTTAATATAAAACAGAATTCAAACATTTAATTATTAGAAAGAATTATATAAAATACATAGTTACCAATAGCATTTCAATCACTCAAATTTGTAGTCCTAGATTGGTCTCTATCAGTTTTTATGTAAAAGAGAGTATTTATATAGATAAAAGAGATTCATGTATGATTAGAAGTTTATCTTTTTTTGAAATAAATTTTATTATTATTATCACGATGATAACTAAAGACAACGAGATATTATGCCTTTGCGATTTTGTGGAAAGATAATCATTTTTAAATCATTTACGTTTCTTTACTGTGCGGTTAATAAAAGCAACAATATATTATGATTTTTTCCTCCAAAACAAATTATGCAGGAATTATCAACAAAATTAATCAATTTTAAATCAAACATTTTATTATTTTAATTTCGATAATGCTAGATTACGATGCATCAAGCATTTTCTCTTCAACAAACTAAGCAGAAATTATTTATTTTTAAATCAATAATTTTTTACTCTAATGTCACTTGTGAGAGGCAGCGATTTTTTCTTAATAATATGTAGTATTGCAATTATTATTTTAAGCTTTAACAAGTCTGTGGGAAGAAGAGTTTTGTAATACTTACCTCCTAAAATACAGTTTAAATACTTTCTAATAGATTTAAATCCAATTTACTCCTTTTATAACATGAATGAAAGGTTAAAATGATTACAATGTCGACCTTTGAAAAATCCAATAAATCCAAACTGTTCAAACACAAATACAGAATATGCGTCTTATTTTAATAATTATTAGGTACAAAATTTGCACCATATTAATTCACAATTTTATAGAAATTCTTCAAATGTAATTTAGAATATAACAGCATAGAATGAAATTTTCACAAATGAAGGAATCCAATTTGCATAGGAAACTAGTATGGATGTTATAAATCTAGTTACGAACGTTTCTCATTCGTAAAGATATAAATAACCATTTAAATCTTCATAAAACTCCTTACAATTCAATATTACGTTATTATAAACATTGGAATTGTGTTATTGCATCGAAGTAGGTTTTTCTGCAAATAACGAAGAATGTATCTGACATAAATATGTTGTTGTTAGAATAAATGAACATGCCTTAGATAAACTATATCTCCTTCTTTGCATACAAATTCAAATGTTAAATCTAAAAATTGTGTTTAAACTCAAATCACTTAGTTAAATATTATTAAGCCTTTAAAGATTCTAAATTCATAAACCTTTTGTTAAAAAGTGATACACGTATTTAGATGCAACAAATTTACACTGTTGTGAAAATGATTACATATAATGTGATTATGTATAATAATATTAATAATGTAGAAAGAAAATTGAAATATACTTTTTTTTTAAAAAATATTCATCATTATCACAAAATTTTTATCAAGAAATTTTTATCACACCATAATTATTTTCACAAAACACACCAATTTTCCTTGCAATACACCTACTTTATTTAACAATACTAATCTTATGTACATCAATATATTAAATATTCCAATTTTACATCAGCTGGACAATCACAAAACATTGCACAAATGAACATACGTAACATTTGAATCTGACTGTGACAAAAATTGATTTTCCTAAATAAATTCGTACATTGAAATACTTGAAGTTGAAAATATTTTACTTGATAATATTTGTTTGAATACAAAAATAATATTTTAGGTAAAACAAACCTTCCAAATAAACAAAATTCACGTCATATTGACTAAAATTTTTTTTTAACAGAAAGTGAACACGAAGACTAAAATATACAGATTTTATAAAGAAAGTATGAGGAATCAAAGTAATTTATAAACCATTCTGAATATAATAAAGCTCACAATGCAATTTTGTTAACAATACCAATTTCATGTATACCAATATTCCAATTTTACTTCATTAGGATATCACAATTCACGCTTTGCATTACAGTGCTATTTCGTATTATTCCACAAATGAACATACATTACATTTAAATCTGACTGTAACAAAAAACTATTCCCCAAATGATTTTATAGATAGAGATAAAATTTAACACAGAAAACATTTTATTTGGTAATATATAATGTCTCAGTATAAAAAAAAAAGAAATCGTGTCCAAGGTAAAATAAAGGAACTATTTCGGCACGATTTACCGTAAATTCCCATTTCTTCTTGATATAAAGAAAAAGAAAAATATAATTTTGTGGGAGTCTATTTCAGTACTTAAAATATAGGATTTAATTTATCTTTACGAAATCTTTCTTTTGGACCTCTGAAACTGAATTATGCAAACTTCATTAAGAATGTAAAAAAAAAAAATCAAAATTTCAAAGCAATTCTAAATGTATTAAAGCTCACAATGCATACCAATTTTACTTGTAATATATCAAAACCAAAGTTACCTACAATTCTAAATTTATGTAAACTAATACATAAAATATTCCAAATTTACTTCATTAGGAGATCACAATTCTTGTATTGCATTATATTGCTATCCCTTATTATTCCACAAGTGAACCTACATTAAATTTGAACCTGACTGCGGTACAAAGCTATTTCCTAGATGAATATATTGATAGAAGGGAAATTTAGCACAGAAAACATTTTATACGATAATATATAATGTCTCAGTGCAAGAAAAGCAATGATGTTTAGAGAAAAACATATATACCAAAAACAATTTAATCCATATTAATGAAATCTTTCTTTTAAAATTCTAAAATTGAACAATATAAACTTTACAAGGAAACATAATAATTTTTAAGGCATTCTAATATTTTATAGCTCATAAAACGCGACGATTTTACTTATAATATACCAATATATCATTAACTTATTTCAAATTTTATGTACACTAATCTATAAAAATATTCCGATTTAACTTAGTTAGGACATTGCATTACATTGCTATTCCGTATCATTCCTCAAATGAACATACATTACATTTAAATCTGACAGTGACACAAAGCTATTTCCTAAATGAATTCATAGATGGAGGTGAAATTTAACACAGAAAACATTTTATTCGATAATATATAATGTCTCTTGTATAAAAAAGAAATCATGTTCAAGGTAAAACAAACGAACTATATGGGCACGATTTACAGTAACGTCCCATTTCCTCTTGATGAAAAGAAAAATAAAAACGAACAATTTTGAGGGAGTCTATCTCAGTACCCGAAATGGAAATAGGGATTTAGGCCGAACAAGTGTATGTGTAGTAATGTTTTCTGACTGATCCTGCGGGCACTTACATTAGAGACACAGGGAAGTACGTGGTTAAAATATTGCTCCGACTCTCTGTTCTCATTTTTCTCCTTCCTTTTTGGTACAGAGTTTCCAATAGAGTAATATTATGCTATGTTTCTATTTTTATTACGCTAGTATATCTGAGGTATTCAGTCGTGACTGACTCTAATGCTCAAGAAGAATTGGAGTCGGAATGAGACTCATTTTATTTGCCTAACAGTATACGCTGGAGGCTCCGTTGTTGTTTATTGAGGAATGTTTAATCGAGAGTTATAACGTTTATACCAATATTGCATAATATTATGTTTTTTTATGTTATATAATGCTCTGTTCGCACAGGTTTTATCGTGTGATTTATTTTATTTATAAAAAACAGGGAAATATTTCATTACCAATTTAAAATTTTTCTAAAAATAGT